AATACATGCTTGATGGGGCAGAATTTTTCCTGCAATAGGTTACCATTTATTTCTGTGGTAGACCAGTTGTCATCCGAGGCTACAGAACCTGGTCTGTCCTGCTATTTACCCATAGCTGGGGGGAAAGGAAGAGGATTCATACCTTTCCTTCCCAAGAGTATTAGCATGTAAGTGAATGTAATGGATTCAACTGGAATTCAAACTCGGTTCTCTGATTCCTCAATCCAAGCCACTATCCATTACTCCAAGATAGTTATTCAATTTTGGGAAAAAAAATCCACCCAGGACATCCTTATTCCAAACATCCCTCTTATTGAATATCAAAATGAAAGTTTTTTCCTTGAATGCTTGCTGCTTAAATTAGGAGTAGGTGTAAATTTCTTGAATATTTAATAAGAGGAGTGATTAGAATAAAGATGTTTAAGGTGGATTTTCCTAAGAAATGCATAATCATCCTGGCCGATCTCTTAGGAACTCATATCTGATGATGATTAAATAATCACAATCAAGATCATAGAATCATTGTAAAATGCATAATCCCTTTGTTAGCTTCATAGTATGTCATTTACCAGAGTCACATTTAGTTTTGAATTTAGGCTTGTCTTTCTTCTAGATTAGTGGTTCCTAATATTTTCTCTCAGAATGAATTTATGTGATAAAAAGTACATTAAAAAATGAAAAGTACATTTTTTAAAAAGTACATTAAAAAAAAAAGTACATTAAAAAATAAAAAAAAAAAACAGAGGGAGATTAAAGGAAGATAACTGCAAATTCAAAGTCAGAACATTATCATTGATAACTCTCTTCTCCAATTTGTGGACCCTAGTTTCTGTATTCTTAATACTTGATATAATGCAAAAATATCACACTGATAAAATCAGTCAATAATTATTTATAACTATTTATACTGGGACACATGCATGAAATTACAAGTAATCCATAAGAATATTTTAAATTTTGAAATCAATAATTTTTGGCATATAAATTTTTTAAAACTGTTTCTAAATTTTTGATTGTCTTTCAATCATTCCACCTCACTTACTATCCTCTTCTGTCACACCTATGAGGCGCACTTTACTGTTTGGAAACCACTGTCCAAGAGTGATTGCAAACCAGGGCTGGAGAGCCTAGTCTTCCTTACTATTTAACTCATAACTGGAGGGGAAGATGGGTTCATGCCTTTCCCAAGAGTATCTGTGCAACAGTGAATGTAACAAAACTCAACTGGAACTCAAAGTTGGCAAGCTGATTTCACATTCTGAGCCACTATTCATTACACAAACTGCATATCCTTAGAAGTAACATTAATGGTAATATTAGCCATTTCCTTATAAAGAAACATTCAGGATTCATTGACCGAGCAGCCAGTGCTAGTTTTGGCCAAAATTTATAAAATCTTACTTGTAAAACAATTTTTCAGGAAAATAAGTTTCTCAGGTCTTCTAACTGTTATAGCTCTTTGATGGGGGTTTCCTTCCTTGCCTTATGCTTGAAGTCGTGTGGAATGTCAGCATTTTGGGGATGTCATTATTTTTTCTTCATGTTACCTGTGCTATCCATTTTAGTTGTTGCAGTTGTTGAAATTGCTCAAGTGTTGTGGTTTTTGTTATTTGGTACAATTCTTTCTTTGTGATTCTGTAGCACTAATCCACAAGGTTCAAAGAAGGATGGACCTATATGCTTCCCTTGTTCAAAGTAATTTTTAACTATTGATTTCAGAAAGCAGTTGTATACAGCTGACAGTTTAAATATTTCTGAATGAGTTTGGTATCCTAATGGCATCAAATATAAAAATCTTGATTTGATGAGACCATCTAGGAACATGACTCTAGATTTTAGGTTAATATTTTGGTTTTGTAGCAGATAGTGTTGTTTAGCAAAACTGCTCTAAGCACAGCCTATTCTATATTCAATTTCCTTTGAGCCTATATTAAATTTGTTATAACTGATCTTTATGCTGAGGTACTTGAAGTGTTTTGAATTCACATTCCACATCTTGAATCTTTATGATGGATTCAGTGCCGGTGCCATCACTGCTTTCATTCCAATTCCAGATCATAGTTTCTGTTTTGGAAAGGTAAGTATATACTCTTAATTCTATTAAGTTGGTGCATAATTATCAGGCGTTTTTAAACAATATTTATTATGAAAAAAGAAACACAATAATTCAACAATAACATTTTTAAATGAGTATGATTATCGACATGCATTTTTGTAACCTGAAAATAAAATATTTTTATTTAAAAAAAAAATAAACAAAAACGCTTGGTAATTATGCACCAACCCAATAATTTTAATTTTAATTTATTTTCTTTTTTTATACTCTAAAATGTTATATATTCTTGTTTTTTTTTTGGGTTTCAGCTACCATGACACAAAACATGCAAATATTCTCAATTCCTTGTGGATGATTTCTATTACATTCCTTTCTATTGGTTATGGAGACATTGTACCAAACACATATTGTGGAAGAGGAATAGCCATTTTAACAGGAGTCATGGTAAGTCTACAATAATTTTACGCTTCTTTTCTTTCATGCATTTATAAGACAAACCATTTGCCTCAAAAGCTTGAAAAGATTGTCATTTACAAGAATTAATATTTCAGCAAAAAATGTTTCTATAATTCTATGTTTGTCTTTGGTCAAATATACATTTTATTTTACATGATGTGCATTAACCAAAACATTGTGTTGTTAATATAAATATTTTCTTACAAATGATACTAGTGCTCTACACACAAAATAAATCATACATATGTATTTGTATATATGCATGCACACGCACACACACACACACACACACATATATATATATATATATATATATATATATATATATATTTCCCTCTTTCTCTCTCTCTGTATATATATATTGATTTAAAAACTCTTATATTAGTAACTGCTAACTTTTATAAAGTGTACAGTAAAAGTGCTCAATACTATGTAAAGTTTAAATTAAATGTAAAATCACAAGATATAAAAACAACATAAAATACTTTAGCTACTCTAGTTTCTCCCATCTCATCAGGATCATCATGCCAGGTAATATTTTTTATGATTATAAATTGAAAGCACATTTTATAATTATAAAAATATAACCTGAATAAATAAAATGATACAATAACAAAGGCTGTACATACAAATTATAAATTATATAAAATTTCACCTGACATAGTGATCCCTGATTATAGGAGAGAAACTCAAGTAGCAAAAGCATTTTATTTTTTTTATAATTTTACATATTTATATATATATATATATATATGAAGAAAAATTCTGAAAAAACAAACAAAAATCCTTAAATGTAGTTAAAATGAATGAAATGTCGACGTCTGAGAAACTAGGTCTAGTATTCACCGTGCGTAGTATTCTGGTTTCTTTAATATTTCCCCTTTTTTAGTGAGATTGATGCTCGACAAGCATACACATAAAAAAAAAAAAAAAAAATTTTAGAACCTAATAGAATTCTTTTCATTTTCTTTTTCATTTCAAAATAATCACAAACTTTTAGGAATACGTTATGAAAGCGTCGCCCATGTGACGACGGCGTGACCATGTTAGACGGAAGGCTGATCATTTTAAAAATTTTCAGTTATCTGTTTTGAATAAGACTTGTGTTTTTATGTCCATCGTATTTGTCATATTGAACTGAATTGTATTTTAATAAATATTGTCTTGAAAAGGTTTATTAAACCGAAACGTCAGACGTCGACATTTCATTCATTTTAACTACATTTAAGGATTTTTGTTTGTTTTTTCAGAATTTTTCTTCATTCTGTCGGATTTATATCCATTTACACTTGCTTATATATATATATATATATATATATATATATATATATATAATAGATAGATAAATAGATAGATAAATAGATAGATAGATAGATAGATAGATAAATAGATAGATAGATAGATAGATAGATAGATAGATAGATAGATATGTGGGGTGCATAAAAGTTCTCTGCCAGATCCATTTCAAATGTCAGTATTTTAATGACTAAACATCAGAATATTTTTTTACTTTTGGGAGGCTGAAAGAAACCATATACATTACATGGCTCAAAGCTGAGAACTTTTCAGCACCAACTTAGATATATATATATATATATATATATATATATATATATATATATATATATATATATATATAGTAGTAAACTATAAAATCCAAAATTTATTTCGTATGTGTATAATAAATACATTGAGTTCTTCTTCATGGATCAGTTTTTATATTACTAGGATTCACTTATATTCTATACCAATGGTGTTATTACCTTTACTAAATATATATATATATATATATATATATATATATATATATATATATATATATATATACATTTTGTTTTATTACATCTTATTTATACTATATCATCAAAATTAATAATATTGTTATTCATTTCCTGCTTTTGTTGAAATCCAAATTGTGAATTTATAATTTATGCTTTTATTTCAAATTATAAAAATTTTAAAACTAATTGATTTATATTCTTTATTATTAATTCACCTCATGAATCTGAAGTTCACCCCTTGATGTTTCCAAATCTATATAGTAACATATTCAATCCATACATTTTTTTGTAAATAATCTTTCTCCTTTGAGTCCATGTAATCAACTTTAGAAGATATTATCAAATAAAAATCACATTATAGGATTAAAATAATCCAACTTTCTTCTATGAAATAGATCAGAAAACAAGTAACAAAAAACCTTCTATCATTAGAAACAGACAATAATCTATATGTGTGAAAGGTCTGTCTGAAAAGTAAAAGAACTGATCATGTTCTTCAATGTGAGAGACATTGTCTTCAGTGAGATCTTACCACAGCGCTAGATGATCAATCAGCAAGTCTACAATAGGATCCTGCAGTGTTTGCTTCACTCAGTGTGCAAGAAGAGATGACAGTTGTGGCAGGACAAAAATCATGGCTGATTTACCACAACAATGCACCTTCTCAGAACACCCTGAGCATCCAGCAATTCTATACTGGAACAATCTCCATTTTCACCTGATTTTTCTTTATGTGACTTTTTTCTTTTCCCCAAGCTGAATTGGATCATCAAAGGGACCTGTTTTGAAGGTGAGGAGGCCACGAATGACAGAGCTGAGGGACATCCAATTAGAATCTTTTCAGCAGTGAATAAAAACATGGCAGAGAAGAATGGAAAAGTACTTAAGTGGAATTGCTTTGAAGGGGAAACTATGTAGTTTGTTGATTGGAATTGAAATATATTGTTTGTGACACCAGTTTGGCTACTTTTCAGACAAACATCATATATATACATTTTTATATATCAAGAACAATTTTAGGGAAAACTATGACAAAGCAGAAAAAGTTATCATGAAACACAAAGCCTGTAAAATATTTCAAAATAGAAATGTGGACCATTCTAGAAAACACAGCAAATCAAAATATGTTATTCTACCTACCAACTCAGTCACAACTACAATTGAAAAGAATTTATCTATGCTTAACATAAAATTTGTTGCAACCATTTCTAAAACAATAAAAGACTTAATTAATAAAAAAATAAAATAAGCTAAAACTAAAAGGAGTAATTTACTCTATCAACTGTAATAATTGCCACAAGAAATACATAGGAGAAACCTCAAGGAATTTAAGTAAAAGATTATATAAACACAAAAGTGATCTTTTACAAAACAACACAATGCATTATTTCCTAAATGTAACAAGATTGACCATAATTTTGATTAAAAAATGCTAATCTAATTAAAAGCAATGTACTAAGACAAAAATGTATAGAAAGTTGTTTAATCACTAGATCATCAACAGTAAATTTACATTCAGGTTCTTACAGCATTTTATCTTTCTTGGCGGATCTTCTATTGTCACAATGTAGAATATTCAATTAAAAAAGTCATAAAAACATAAACAAAACGAATCCAAATGAAATTGGCTAGATTATATACCCAAACACATACCTTTTTCTTTTTAATTTTTAATTTAAAATTCTCAGGGTCCCCTCTCCTTCGTTTGCATGTGTAGCTGCATCATTTTAGTCTGATGAAGTCCTAATGGACAAAATGCCTCACAACTTTTTCAATTTTGTCATAGTTTTCCCTAATATATATATATATATATATATATATATATATATATATATATATATATATATATATAAATTAATTTCTATGTTTTATTGAATGTTTAAATAAACAAGTTAAATCATATATGACAGTCTTGAATATGCAAAAATAATTTTGTGACATTATAACAACCGTAAGTTGCACAATGCCTCTTTTTTTCTTCTTCTTTTCTAAGAATTTTGAATATTACTGACTCATTTTCTCTTTCTTTGAATTTTACTTTATTGTTCATTATAAGTCTGTATTGTATTTTTGCATTTTAACTTAGAAATTAAATCTTCCTTGTTATTTTTCAATGTGTTTGTTAATCAACATTGTTTTTTATTTCACAATTTAACCACTAACTTACATGGATTAATCACCAGTTTGTATTCTAACAATCAAACCACACCACAAAGGACTATTGGACAGCCAAGTTAAGAAGTAATGCATTTCTCTCACTCATTAAACATCAACATTTTATATCTTACATTACCTACATATGAGCCATGACTTTACATTCATAAAAACATAAATTTCATAATACTACACATTCAGAAATTGGAGTTGGATAATCCTACACTAAATCGATTATAATCAGCTTAATCAAAAACAGAAATACATTGACAAGATGTTAGAATTAAATCTATTTAATCCACTATTTATGAGTAAAAAGAAAACAAAATGATGGAAATGAGTTCAACCTAATAATGCATTTTTCTGTTTTATATTACACAGATGCAAAAAACAGGAATAATTTTACTTAATACGATGAAATAACTTAAAAATCCATATAAAATTCATTTTTAATATTGATATCAATCTTCTGTTTTCACTAAATTTGGATAAGATTTCCTAAAATAAATAAATTAATTAAATGAAAATTGAAATTATTTTTTGCTGATTGTTTCTTCTACAAATCATTAAAGTTTACATTATTTCAGCAACAGAAGCATAAAGAAATTTCCAATGCAAATTTTATCAAAAACAAATAAATAATTTTGAAATACTAGTTTATTTATAACAGTTAAAAAGTATTTTTCTTTTAACATAATGGATTTATTGTCCCATTCTGTTGACACATTGCAAAGAGTGTGTATAACAAGAAGAAAAAACAAACAGGTTTATTTTTTTTTTATGAAAAATGTTTGATAAAATTTAATTAACCTCAGGAACAGATGATCTTATTTTCGGACCCATATCAAAACTTAGAATTTATTAACTCTATGATTATTATTATATGAACTTATTGAGACGTCTTCGTTCATCGGGATTTCTATCAATAATGATAACTTGCGCAAATGAGTCAGTTGCATTCTCTAACAAGGGAAGTAACTTTCAAAAATACCTTAAAAGTTATTACCCTTGTGTTAGGATTCCTTGACTGCAATGAAAACTATAACAATTCAA